CCCCCCCCGGCCCCCGGCGCGCCCAAAACTTCCCTCGCCTGACTTTGCCCGCGTCTTTGGCCAGGATCGGAGAGCTGAGGGAGGTGATGGAGGACATCATACGCCGCCAGTGCGACTACGACCCCGCTTCGGGGGAAAGCTACGACTTTGACAGGCGAGTGGACTCGCGTGGGCTTTGGCCGCACCCAAAAACGAGTTGTTGTTTTTGGGAGACATGCTGCCATTCCATTTGTTTGCCCGCGCAGTGACTTCGCCGTGCACGGGGGCCCCGTGGACACGGCCTTCACGCTGGACCACCTGTCCTACAAGTCCCCCTACTCGGACCAGCGGCTGGTGGAGGACTTGAGCCTGACCATCGGTGAGGGGACGCACCTGCTGGTGGTGGGCAACACCGGCACGGGCAAGACCTCGCTCCTGAGGGTCCTCAACAGACTGTGGGAGGCCGAGAGCGGTGAGAGATGACGTTCCGCTACAGCAGCAGCAGCAGCAGCATTTATTTGTTTGTTGATTTAAAAAAAAAAATCCGGCACTTTTTCTCCGTTCCTCGTCAGGTTTCGTCCAGATGAGCACATGCTTCGGGCCCAGGGGGACCCTCTTCCTGCCCCAAAAAGCCTACCTGACGGACGGCACGCTGCGCCAACAGGTTTGCGCGCGCGCGCCTCGGTCTGGTCTTTGAAATGCGCCCACACCAACGGCGGCGTGACAAATGTGCTCTCCTAACAGGTCATCTTCCCACTCAAGGACATTTATCCGGAATCAGGTAACCGGTACGCACGTCGCTCAGCGCGTTAGCCGGGTTTGATTGTCATCACGGTCTTTTTCTCGCCTTCTTCTCAGGGTCAGCAGACGACGACAGAATCGTGAAGTTTCTGGAGCTGGCGGGGGTGGTGAGTTTTGCAACGCGCGCCCAAACCTCCAAAGTCCCACTCAGCCCGTCGCCTGATTGGAAATAGCGACGGTGAAAAGTCGCTTTTGAAAAGATCGGAACGAAATCATGGAAAGATGGACGATGGCAACGTGAACTCAAGGAAGAGACGTTGGGTCACAGCGGCGTCGACGGGCGCGCTCTCGGGTTTTTGTGTCGTCGTCCACCTCGCGCCGTCCATTTTCTGCCGTCTACTTTCAAGTCGTTGATCCAAAAGCACGCAATGAATCCTTTTTGCTCTTTTCATTCCAGTCGAGTCTGCTGAAGCGCACCGGCGGCCTGGACCGAGTCGTGGACTGGAACTGGTCAGGCTAGTCTTTGTTTGTTTGTTTGTTGGCTTTTTTTTTTTCTGCTTTTCAAGAGCCCCCTTTTCTCGCCGTGGCTAACGTCGCCGCTCTTCACTTTGTCCCGGACGAAACCGCGGGGCTAGGTACGACGTTCTGTCCCCGGGTGAGATGCAGCGACTGTGTTTCGCTCGCCTCTTCTACCTGCAGCCCAAATACGCAGGTATGTTGGCGTCCACCGGGGGGGCGAGGGGGGAGACGACAATCTTGTAAGCGAACGAGTGGTCTCGATGGCAGTGTTGGACGAGGCCACCAGCGCCTTGACGGAGGAGGCGGAGTCTCAGCTGTACCGCACCTGCAAGCAGCTGGGCATGACGCTGGTCAGCGTGGGACACCGCAGCAGCTTGGAGAAGGTCAGCTTTGCGCCCCCCCCCCCACCCCCATTCGATTTTGCCATCCCTCCGCGTTGTGTCTTTGTTGACTGGCAAACCTATTGAACGGCTCTTTCTTGAGAAAAGGGCAAAACAAAGTCGGAACGAGAGGAAGCGACAAATTGATGTGGAATCCCGTTTTATTCAATCCCATTGAATTTGTTGACCGAATTGGAGCGAAAAGGCCTTGCCGAGGGGCTTCGCGAGAACGGGGGCGAGTTCGCCGTCCGACTTGGTGTTAGCGAGGAGAAAGTTGAGCTAAGAAGCCCGCGAAGTGACGACGGGGCGGCCCGGCGTCACTTCGCGGAGGGGCGGAGCGCACGGCGGATGCTCACGCCCGCGTCTCTCTCACCCTTGCTTCGTCTCCAGCACCACGACGTCCGGCTCAAACTGTGCGGCGGCGGCCGTTGGGAGCTGAGCCGCCTAAGAGGCGCCGCCGGGAGTCTCCCGCAGGACGTCTTGTGAGCCCAGCGCTCGCGCTTCTCTCCGTTCTCCACCCACGTCTGAAGAAGGGCGACGTCCCGTTGGCCGCTCGCTTCGTTCTGGGGCGCGACGTTGGGAGAGCGCGGCTCGGTGCAAAAGTGGTTCGGCTTTGGGTCCCCGGCGCCCTCTCTCCTTGAAGTTTGACCTCCCGCCGTCGACGAAGCCCGCCTCCCCCTCAAGCAAATGATCAATCAGCGTGGCGAGTTTACACTGGAAATGTTTCTTTGCGGCGATTCCGTAAACATCATTAAAAGCACTTGAAAACTCCTTTCCTAATCTGCAATTTTCCGTCTTCACGGCCGCCGTTCGGCGGCGAGGTCGCGGTGACCTCGGATGACCTCCTGCACGGTGGCGGGGTCGTCCAGCGTGCTGAGGTCGCCCAGGCCGTCCAGGTCCCCCTCCGCCACCTTGCGCAGAACCCGACGCATGATCTTGCCCGAGCGCGTCTTGGGGAGGCGCCGGACGAACTGCCAGAAGAAGCCACAAAGCGGAGGCAGGCGCGTTTCTCTCGTTCAGCCGTCGTCCAAGGAAAGTGCGGGTCGGGCGGCTTTTTGCGACCCACCTGGACGTGGTCGGGGCAGGCGTACTTGGCGATCTTGTCGGAGACGCTGTCGTTGATCTGCGCGACGAGGCCGGCTTCTCGGGCGTCCTGCTTGAGGACCACAAAGGCGTACACGCCTGCCGACAGCACGGCGCGGCGCTCTTGAGAGACCCGCGGCGGCATCGACGCGCGGCCGGCCGCAATGTTGCGCGGCGGCTCACCTTGGCCCTTGACGGGATGCGCGCAGCCCACGACCGCCGACTCCGCCACCGCCGAGCACTGGTTCTGGCACACGGAGCAGAAAGGAAAAAAAAAAAACCTGAACGACACGGTCCCGACGAAACAGACACGCACCCCGACGCGGGATGTCTTCCTTACCACGGCATCTTCGATCTCGGCCGTGCCGACCCTGTGCCCGCTGACGTTGATGACGTCATCGAGGCGCCCCGTGATCTGGTAGTAGCCCTCCTCGGAGCGCCGGGCGCCGTCCCCGGTGAAGAAGTAACCTGCGGGGACACGTCCGAGCGGCGCCGTCAATTGAGAGCGCCGCGTCCGCCGCCGGCCGGCGCGGTTACCGTACCGGGGTACGTCTTGAAGTAGGTGTCGACGAATCTCTGGTGGTCGTTGTGGATGCTGCGGGCCATGCCGGGCCAAGGCTGAGTGAGGCACAGCGCTCCGGAGCCATCGTCGGACGTCACCGCGCGGCCCTGGAACCGGACGGAAGAGGCACCTTTCACCGCCGGAGCTCACGCCGAATCGAGGTACGATTCCGAAAACCTGTCTGTCCCTTCTCCACTTCTCTCCGGTCGCAGCCTGCGGTCGGGCCGGCCTCCCCGCGCAAAATTGAACCCGAGGCGCCGGACGTGGTGCGTTTCGCTCATGCCCCGCTGGCCCTCGAAATAAAAGCAACCTCGCTCACGCCGCCCCGTCCGCGCTTTGGATTTGAAGGAATGTTGGAAAAGAGCCGCTCAGCGAACGCATCTCGCCTCAGAATGGCCACGAGAAACGTTGTGAAGTTGAGCTCCGAACAAGTTCGTCTTGGCGCATTTCAAATTCAAAGGCCTCCGAAATCTGCAATTTCGGCCAACGCCGCACGCCGGCGGCGGATGACCGGAATGGAGACTATGAGGAATGGCCGCCGCGGCTCGCCCTCAACTTTGTCTTTGCGAAGAACCGTCGCGAGCGGCTCTCTCGGTCATTGACAACAAAAGTTCGCTCTTCGGAGGAGCTCTTCACCTCCCGGGCGGACTTTTGTCGCTCCACCTCAGGCTACGGAGAGAGTGAGCCAAGCGAGCGTTTGTTGACGGCCTGTGCTGTCGCACATTTGCGGAAGGCTTACGATAAGATGGCTGGGAACGGCCTGGATGGAGGCTCAGATGAGGATTAAAAAAACAGTCAGCAGCTGTGTCACTTTTGATACCGGCCCTGCCCCCCCGCCGCCAGACGCGCACGCACGCACCTCGCCATCCATGAGCGCCGGCTTAATGCCAAAGAAAGGTCTCATGGCCATCCCGGGGACAATCTCTGCGTGCGGCTCCGACGGCCTCGGGGCGATGCAGATGCCGCCCGTCTCTGGGAAGACCACAAAAAAACAAAAGCAACTGTTAGCAATTTTTGCCGCGTCCGGGCAAGCATAATCCGCAAGCGCGGGGGGTGGGGGGACCTGACGCAAAGTAGGACACGACAGACGAGCGGCTTATAAAAGCCGCAACTGGCGTCGCGCTCCCACCTGCTGCTGCAAAAATCATCCGTCCAAACTCCCCGTCCTAATCCACGTTTAGCTCGATGCGGCGCTTGGTGAGAGATCATCGGTCGGAAGGTTCGCGCGCGGCGTGATGGCCTCCCGTGCGACTTACCTGTTTGCCACCAGGTGTCCACCACGGGACAGCGTCCCTCCCCCACCACGGCGTGGTACCACTCCCACGCCTCCTTGTTGATGGGCTCGCCCACTGCGCAGAGGACACACTTGGATGGAGTTTCTTCACAATTTGCTCAAGCATTTCATTTCTCAAGCGCGCCACGTTGGCTTTCGACCGAGGTCAAAACTGAGGTGACTCTTTGAACGGAGCCGTTTATTTCTTCAAGAGACACCCGGCGTTTCATCGACAAACGCAGCAGCACACAAGTTGAGGTTAACACGTCATGTCAGTTCTGCGATCCGTCTTCAACCGCCAGCCGTTTTTTTGTTGGTTTTTGTGGTGTCCGATTGAGGTGCGGCATTTATTCGTTCAGTACTGTACTCGATAACGATTCATTGCATTTATTTTATTTTTTTTTTACTCTGAAGTAAAGTCCAGCTTTACAGATGCCACGATGCTTTACACCAGACCCGGGCATTCGACGGCTGAGGGCCCAACTTGGCCCCCGGGCCGGCTCCTGCTGGCCCGGGAAGAATTGCTGGGAATCAAGAAAATAAAAGCGAGGGTGCTCTCAAAATTTGTGAGGATGCGTGTTGGGCCGCGGGCCGGCTCTTCTCGGCCTGCCAAGAGTTGCTTGGAATAAAGAAAATGAAAACCGACTTTCACCATTCTCCAAAGTGCGCGGAGCGAAAGAGCGGAAGTCTTACTTTGAAAGGCGTTTTGGTTGCGCGGGCGTCGGTGGCGAACAGGTGCTCTGGGCCAATCCGCCTGATTGGCGGCAGGTGGCAATGGCGGTCACCCTTCCCAACGGTCGCCCGAGCCCGGCTCGGCTTTGCCAAGGCCGTTTCACCGAGCTAGCTACGCGCGGCAACCGGGACCGGATGTGTGGTAGACCGCGACGTCGCCTAGAACGCCGAGACATTTTCGGAGGTGGGGGAGATTCCTTCGGGAGCGACGAAACGACTTCGGCCAAGGCAGGTACGGACCCTCTCCTTTAGCTCACTGAAACATGTTTGCTTGGATTTTCGTTCTGTGTTGTTTGGCACTTGCGACAAACAAACAAAACGTTGTAACTTGTGCTACGTGCTGACTGGCATTGTGCTCTCTTCACGGAAAGTTCAAATCCGAAAGCGTCGTCGTGTTCATGTTGGCGAAAAGGTAGTTCGAAATGCGGCACAAGTTCCATCTTTTTGCGACACCGGCAAGAAAAATGAAGGAGAACTGCGGCACTCTGCCTTGAAACTTGCACTTGACGGGACGCATCCGTTTGAGGCGAGACGTTCGTTTGTTCACGGAACAACGCGGGGCGTCCGTTTGAGTGGAGCCGACGGGTCGAGTGCGGTACCGCGGCACTGTTTGGGGTCGTACCGGATCCGAGCGTCCTGAGACTGGAGCGGTCGTACTTGCGCACCCACTGGTCGCCGTACTTGAGCAGCAGGCGGATGGCCGTGGGGGCGCCGTAAAACTGGTTGATTTTCAGCCGCTCCACCATCTCCCAGTACCTCCCTGCCAAGACAAGTCACGAGCAGCGGAGTTTTGGAGCCTTTGTAAGCGCGCAGAGGTCCCGCCGGCGCTCATTTGGGGCTCTTGTCGGGCCGCCCGGAAACGGTGGTCTCGACCTCTTTGTGCCGCCATTTTTGGTTTGTTTTTGTTTTTGTCTTTGAGTTGTAGAAAGAACAAAGCAGCTGGAAAGCTGGGCATCGGCCTCCATACCTGGGTCGGGATAAATGGGCGTGCTCTCAAAAAGGACGCTGGTGCCCCCGTTGGCCAGGGGTCCGTACACGACGTAACTGTGTCCCGTGATCCAACCGATGTCCGCCACGCAGCCAAACACGTCTCCGTCGCGGTAGTCGAAGACGTACTGTAGCAGGAGCCGCGCGCGCAGCGCAAGACAACACAGAGTACGAGGTTGAGTGCGCCGGCACGGTATCCCTACCGGGTCCACCGACTTTGACATCATACTCTGCATAAATGTCCCCCTGACAGGAGACAAGGGGCCGCTTCCTGCAAGGACGGCTAATCTGCCGACAGCAGGGGTCGTCGGATGCCAACCTTAAAAGGGCCACAAGTGCACTGGACAACTACTGGTGAGGAGGTGTTCCACATGGCTCCACACTCGATCCACTCGACATCAAGCCAATCAAAGTCACGTGAGCGTTCCGGGTAAGATTTGGCGCTGTGCCTGGTGAGCGGACTAACGACTTACCTTGTGCGTGAGCGCGGCATACAGCAGGTACCCGGCCTGCGTGTGGACCAGGCCTTTGGGCTTCCCGGTACTGCCCGAGGTGTAGAGCAGGAACAGGACGTCCTCACTGTCCATGGCGGCCGGCTCGCAGACGACGTCCTCCGACATCATCTCCTGCAAGATTCCGCTCGGTTGGCTCGAGTCCC